CTCTCTCTCTCTCTCTCTCTCTCTCTCTCTCTCTCTCTCTCTCTCTCTCTCTCTCTCATACACACACACACACACACACACACACACATATTGTCGAAATACTAACCAACCTGCTGTGTAATTGACAAGATGTGGTTCATGGCCATGTGACTGCCATGTGGACAGGAAATGTTGAGGTCAAGGCAACGCCGGAACGACACTCTACACTGGAAGAAGTGCCAAGACAGCAAGCGAAAAAAATAAGCGTTTTCAGGAATTGTGGAGAAGCCGATTTAGACTGACACTTCAACCTCAGTCCATCAGCCGTGCCATCTGTTGTATGACGAAGAATGAGGGGTGTTCAGATGAGCGAATCTTACAAAATGAACGAGGGGGTAGCTGGCAAGGGTTGTATCATGGGCTCAAAAGCGACGGAGAGTTCAAAAACAGCAAGGAATGACGATCAGTCATGTGGACCAAGTGTCAACGAACCGTTGCTCCCGTTGAGCAGTGAGAGATCAGTGAAGCGATGAAAGAGGATACTGGAGGACCCGTGGTATGCGGAAATGTACCAGATGATGACCACAAATGATGACCACAGATGACGTCCAATATCCTCAGATGGCGCATGAACCTTTGTTCAGTATTGCAGGGGGCAATCGGTCAAGAGGTATGGTTGCAGAGGCTGGAAAGAGGTCCGAGAGGATGGACGAGGAACACTTGTTCCCGTTCACGTGGACATCAAGAAGACATGTCATAGCGATAACGAAACGAGACGTATTGCGATTGGGTGCGAAGCAGTGGCTGAACGACGACGTGATCGATATGTACTTACAGTCCGTCTATGAAGAACTTTTCCCTGCACAGGACAATACGACACTTCATGTTTGCACAACTTTCTGGCATCCCGCAGTGATCGCCAATCAGAAGGTTTATGTTTTGAAAGCAGGATGGCAGGAGTGGATCAAAAGTAGACCTGCAAAGCTGCATCGATTGAGTAATGAACTGCGAACGACAAGTATTGTTCTTATCCCTGTGAATCATAAAAACCATTGGAAATTGCTCTTGCTACTGAATGTCGGTCGGTTTTTGGCAGTCACGGAGGACAATGATGGCCAGAAACGACCTGTTGCAATCGTCATGGATTCCTTTCAACAGAGCGGCCGACAGGAATGAAAGGTGTTGCACACATTTTTGTGGTATGAATCCCTCAACGAGGTAGACAAAGCAGGGGTGTTGACTACCGAGACCGTAGACACGTCGTGGGTGACATGTAGAGATCTACTTGGATCTAACATAGTATATGCGGAATGTTCACAACAGACCAATACGTCAGACTGTGGTGTTTACGTTTCTTGCTTGGCAGCACAATTGATGCGAAAGCTAGCAAACGTGGCCAACAGAACGAACATAACCGCAAAATATATAACAAAAGTTGTTAGCGCGATGGCGGTCAACGAACGAACGGTCGAGAGATTTCTTCACTCGATGGTACAGCGCTTTGCGCAGTGCGCTGCAATGACAAAAGGATATAACACCGGAGCAGTGTGTGACATAGAAAATGTCTTCAGACATCTCATAGATGGAACATGGAGTGGAAGTTCGTAATTACAAGGGCATGATAGAAACCCGGTATTGAAACACAAAGTTCACAACCGCGTGCAATTATACAAAACTCACATGTCGTAAAGAATCGGCATGCGGTAGCGAACTTGTGCATGTTACTTGATGGCTGAATGCGTGATGTATCACAGAAAAAAAATGTCGTCTTTTATGTCACAACGATAGAAAACGTTTGTCTCTCTCTCTCTCTCTCTCTCTCTCTCTCTCTCTCTCTCTCTCTCTCTCTCTCTCTCTCTCTCTCTCTCTCCCTCCCTACGTGTGAAAATGTCGTGTATGCTGGCATCGGATGACAAATGGTCGTTCCATGTGCCAAAATCATTCCATGTCTAACGTGAGTGTTTGTGAATTCGTGCATGTCAGAATCTTTTTATAAGGCTGAAGAGAATGACTCCGAAGCCAAGGTACGAGGATCTGTGCAAGTCCTTGAAGTCCACGGGGAGGAGAGAGAAGGGGGAGAGGGCAGTAAAGGAAGACAAGAAGGCAGTCAAGCAAAGACATAGCATAAGGGATATTCCCCAATTGAAGAGTCAGGAGATGAACACAGTCCGCGGGACACAAGCAGTGCTCTCTGTCCCACCGCGGAAAAAGTAGACGGGAAAACTGGTCGAACACAACAAAACACCTGTCGCGAGTCCCATGCGGTGGAAGAGACACGGCGACAGTGAGAGGCAGCCCCCAAGAGCATCAGAGAAGAAAAGACGACATGAAAAAGCACAACTGCAACAACAGAGGACAAAAAAAAGAATAATTTACAGAAAAGACAGGACTCCTGAAGCAATCGACCTCAGAGGGTCACACGATTTACGAACCACCACTCAGGAGGAAGGGGAAGAAAAAAACACCGGCGGAGAAATGTCAGAAGAAGTAGAACATGAGAGAACGCAAGAAGGAGGAAAAGGTGACGAAAGTGATGCAGAGGAGAGCAATCCGGACGGAGACAACAACTGCGAGAACACGGACAGATTCGAGGAGGGCGAAGAGGAAGAGGAAGGCAACAGTGAAGACGAAAAAAGAGAGATTACATCTGCTGAGAGCAGTGTGAAATGCGGAAGTGATGAAAAAAAGGCAAGCGCACTAGGGACTTCATCGAACGACAAACAAATTGTGCAGAGGGAGAATGTACCGCTACAGGGTTAGGGGGAAGGGCGCCTTATAAAGACACCACTATGTGTGCACAGCACGGTTGTTTTCGGTGTTGCAGAAACGACAAGGTTCACTGAAGGGGGGGGGGGGGGG